TATCAGATATTCCACGTGCGCCGTGAACACCATGTATTACCACGGCTTCGCCGTGCTAATCCATGATATTCACAACATATATAAATTGTAGCGCACTAATGTAAAAAAAAAAATCCCTTGCATCGGTACACCAGTTAGCTGGGCGGAATTGATCAATTTTGCCCAAGATCACTAAAAATTTACTAATGAAATTATAAGTAAAAATACCAAGCTTATGAGTTTGCTGTTTAATGTCGGCTCAGTTTCAATGGATTTTGACTCAATATTTTGAGATAGCCCTGTAAGAGTTGTGTACTTACAAAGGGAATGCACTATAATTTGCCGTAATGTCAACCACCCTGCGATCTTGATATAGTGCAGTAGAAATAGAACTCGGAGATTTTTCGATTAAATAACTCCCTTTTTTTAATCATAAGAAATTTTTTTTCGATTATAAAACGGCTAATAATAAATTATCATATACGCCTACAGTATAATTGTCAGAGAAAATCAATTTCTTTGAAAGTAACAATTCCCCGCATTTGGTATTATTTACCTATTTATCAACCTTAATGACCAAAATATTTATAGCAAAAAGAACAACTATAACACGGAGTAATAAATTCCTATTCCTGTACGTGTACTTGTGTACTTGCGTGCGTGCGGATTTCTTTGTTACTCAGATTAATAACGCATAAAATTCACTAATTTTGCTTTTTTTTGTTTTTTTGTTTTTTTTTTTAAAAAAAAACAGTACCATAGAAAAGGTATATATTAAATTAATAGAGTATAAAAATCAAATTGAAATAAGTCATCTTATACATGGTCACAATCGTTTTTTGTTTTCTTCTATAAAATTTTTAGTCTATCGTTTGATATACACATACTGTAAGAGGGAACCATGGATGAAAAATGCATAGACGTCTCCATAGATACTTCTATTCCAGTTATCGATGAATGGATTACATCCTCAGACGGTGTCAAAATATATACTAGAACTTGGAAGGTATGATTAATATTTGATGAAACTTTTTTAACTTTTCATTCTCACCAACGTTAAAAAAATAAATAAAATAAAATGGACATTTATTCATTTTAATTCAGGTAGTATCCGATGAGCCTATTGCTACAGTAGTATTCCTTCATGGTTTTGGTGAACATATTAAACGTTATAATCATGTATTCGATAAATTCGCAAGAGAAAATATCGAAGTTTATGCTTATGATCAACGTGGTTTCGGTGAAACTGCTGTAAAAAATAAAAATCCTGGTATGACTGGTGGTTGGAAAGTTGCTACAAATGACATTACTGAAGCTTTAAAATGTCGACGAAGAGATGGCATTCCTCAATTTCTGATTGGTCATAGCATGGTAAATTTATTGTGTCTAATTAAAATGAAATCATGATTAAATTGAAATACTAACTAAAATTTTTAATATGAAAATTACGCATTGCGATAAAATTTTTTTGAGGAGCATTGTTCTTAACATTATTTAGAGTTTTGATTATGATTTAGGGTCATTATTTTGTTAATGAAATGTATAAGTGGGTTTTAAAGAGACGGTCTACTGGCACAGCATCCGCATGATTTATCTTTCTTCATTTTTCCGATCTACTGAAGCAAATCACTAAAATAATGACGATTATGTCATTGCTGTGTCGATAAGGGAGATAAATCATGTGGATGCTGTGTCGGTAGATCGTCTCGTTTTAAAATGTTAAAAAGATCACTTTATTCTGATTTCATTTTGATCCGCGACATTTATTAGTAGTAGTTCAAGTCGCACGTGCGGTTTAATTTTTACTTAAAACTTTCTTCGATTTTGACTAATAGGGTGGTGGTCTTGCATTACACTATGCCGCCGAAGGTCCTGAAAGGCACAAAATAGCAGGTTATATTTCTACGTCGCCTTGGATTCTATTGTCACCCAATGATCCTCAAGCTAAAAAACGGGATGTCATGCTGTCCGCAGCTCCTATCCTTGGCTGGTTTTTACCAAATGTAACTACAAATGCTGGCGTAAATGCCAAATACATTTCTCATGATCCAGTTGAAGTTGAAAAATACAAGGAAGATCCTTTAGTTCATAACATTGTTTCTATAAGTTCTTGTAAGTATGTGATCATTTACGTTGTTTAATATTTAAGATCTTATATTCTAATTATTTTATTCCTGCATATATAGTTGTAGATATGGTTTCAGGTGGAAAATTAATTATTAATAAGGAATATACAGATATAACTTTCCCAATTTATATTGCTCACGGTTCCGCAGATCTGATTACTGATCCAAACGCTTCTAAATCAGTCATCGAGAAGATAAAATCTGAGGATAAAACTTTCATTGAATGGGAGGGTCGTTATCATGAAAGTATGTATTTTTATTATTATTATTATTATTATTATTATTATTGCCCATTTTCTATTTGATGTGACTTTTTTTCACCTCGATTTTTTTAACAGTGTATAATGATTACGGTAACACAGAAGTTATTCAGAGCTATATTCAGTGGATCCTTAAACGGGTCGGCTCTAGAAAGTGATACAATTCAGTTTGTCGCTGATTCTGAATAATACCTCCTAATGAACTTCCTAAACTGTTCTTGTCAAAACTGACTATTTCTTTTAGATTCAATCATATATAATTTTTTTTTATAATTTTAAATGTGATTACTTCAAATAATATAGTTTTAAGCTACAGTATTTGAACTTTTCATCTTTAGGCATAAAAAAAATTATTTCGCAAAGTTTCAAATTACAGTTGTTTATATCCTTATATACATAATGGTTCTAAATTAAATGTATTTTTTAAAGTTTATATTTAGTATACAGTATATATTACAAGTTTAAAAACTTTATAATATTTGTATTACTACGTAAAATAATTAATAATTTAATTATTAGGGGATTATTTTTATACCCCCCTGCAGGTTAAAATTTTTTTCAAACTTTGAGCGAAGATATCTCAGCAATCACTAGGCCAAATTTGAAGTGCTTTTTTTATCTGAAATCTATGGATTCCTAGAATTGAAACAAAAAAAAGTTCATCGAATTTGACTTGGTGGTTGTTGAGATATCTTCGCTCAAAGTTTTTAAAAAATAAAAACGCTTATCAAAACAAATTGTACTAAAATTTCTTTAAACTTTGAGCGAAGAAATCTTAGCAGCCATCAGGCTAAACTCGATAAACTTTTTTTATTTGAATTCTATGGATACATAGAATTGAAATAAAAAAAAGTTTATCAGATTTGGCTTTGTGGTTGTTGAAATATCTTCGTTTAATTTATAAAAAACTTAATCAAAAAGCTGCATCAAAATTTTTTCTGAACTTTGATATCTCAGCAACTATCAGATCAAATGTAATGAAACTGGTTTTATTTGAATTTTATGGATGCATAGAATTCAAATAAAAAAAATTCACTGAATTTAGCCTGGTGGTTGCTGAGATATCTTCACTCAAAAGTTTAGAAAAAATTTTGGTGCGGCATTTTTATAGATAGACGGTTTGAATTTTTTAAAACTTTGAACGAAGATATCTCAGCAACTACCAAGTCAAATCCAATGAATTGTTTTTTATTTGTATTCTAAGAACTCAGAATTCAAATAAAAAAAAGCTCATCGAATTTGACTTGGTGGTTGCTAAGATTTCTTCGCTCAAAGTTTAAAGAAATTTTAGTAGTTTGTTTTGATAGACGTTTTGATTTTTTTAAAAGTTTAAGCGAAGATACCTCAGCAACCACAAAGTCAAGTTCGATGAACTTTTTTTTGTTTCAATTCCATGAATCCATAAATTTCAGATAAAAAAAGCTCATCAAATTTGGCCTAATGGTTGCTGAAATGCCTTCGCTCAAAGTTTAAAAAATTTTTAATCAGCAGGAGAGTATGAATAATAAATTTGGGGGTAAAAATAATTTTCTACCGTATAGGCGCGTAATAACGCACATGGGCGTTATTTCGAAATTGCAATTTTTTTTAAAAATGGCATATTTGACTCAAAATAACGCCCATGCGCGTCTCAAAATAACGCGCCCTTCCACATGTACCAGATTATCATTCAAGAAAATAGTTGAAATTTTTTTTCAAAATTAGTTAATGATTCGAATTATCGCGCATGCGCGTCCCGAAATAACGCGCAGGGGCTCAAAATAACGCGCCCCTGCGCGTTATTACGCGCCTATACGGTATATATTAATTTTAAAATTATATTTATTAAATAGACTAATCTAATTGTCACATTCTGGTATATATTTTATTTGTAACAACTTTATTGTTAAATTTAAATTAAATTAATCAATACAAGTTATATAATATATATATTATATAAATAATATTTGTAATTATAAAAATTAAAAAAAATATACCAAATTTTAACTAGTAGTGATATTAAACACTTTTAATTTTTTAAGATCAGAATACAATTTTGATATGAAATAATGAAAATTTGATATAAAGGTCTAAATTTTGTTATACAGTATATAAAGTTTTAGAGGTTTTGAACAATTTTACTTAGAACCTCTAACTTTAATTATTTAGTACATTTTTGAGATAGCACCTGGTGATTTAACCAGGGAGCAAATTAATAATATCCTTTAAAAAAATAACCTTTTTGGATGTTCTATATAATAGGTGGGCAAACTTCGCAAACTCTGCAACTCCACTAAGCATCTATTAATAATTAGTAATCATTAGCAAAGCTTATTTCTTATATTGCTCACCTATTCTATAGAACATCCAAAGTTTTATAGTAATTTTAATATTCAAATTAAAAAGCAAATTTATTATAACAATTTATAATAACTAATTTTATCTAGATGTGTCTTGATTATTCTAGTAGGTTTAGATTATAGATAAATTAAATTTGTCTGAGCTTTTACTCTTGCATATAATTTATATATATTTATAATTATATAAATTGAATTAGATATAGTTTTTTTTTGTTTTTTTTTACTATACAAATTGCTATATATAGTAAGTTTATTGAAAATTCGGTTTTTATATTTTTGGTTAGTAAGACAGTATCTTAGGCCATACAAATTTAATAAATCGGTTTTCATAACCCGGCCGGGTCAAAATTTA